ATAGAAATGATAAAGTTCCGATGACGTCAGCCTCACGTGACTGTATATATGATAACACTAGACAGACCCCAAATCTTTGTCTGGGCACTTTGATGACATAGTGTTGTGCTGAGTGGCAGTTTAGGCGTGTCCCCGAAAACACCTGGCGTTTAAAATGGTCATATAAAGTTCAACAAACTGAACTGGAAATTTAAGGAAGTAGATTATTTGGCTGGTTGACTCTATCAATCAAATAATCATATATAAAAAAATATTCAGCTTACGTCATGCTCGCTGATGTAGATTTTACTCAGATGAAGGTGTCGTAAAATTCTTGAAACAATATTGATATAATTATACCACGGACAGCACATATGTTTTTGTCAGTACAAACAGAATATGACGCATAAATATCTTGCATCATGATAGTAAGCTAGCGGAAGTATCTAAGTAAAGTGTTCATGAGAGAAAGATGATAAAAATATAGATGACGAAATCACAGCTATCGCAGTGAATTGAAAAAGAAATATTTTTCTATTTTAAACTTTTTAAAAGCATTTAGCGAAAAAAACTAAACCACGGGCTAACATATCATGCGGTTTAACGGTTTAATGTCTCGAAGATTTAATTTTATTTTGTAGTATAAAAACCAAAATATTTCAGATTTTATTGATTCTTCACACCTGAATAACACAACAACACAATGAAATACAGCTGTTCACTGTTCAACGATCTAACTTAAGAACTTGGTAACATAGGTAATGTCACTTTTGTTGGAAGGGAGCTAACTCTTACTTGATATTTCAGTTCAGGACAGGTAAACTGGTTTCAGTACTGCATGCACTCAATAAACAGGAGCCGAACAGGCCCTAACATCAAAAGCTCTGACCTGGCACATCAAAAGCCCCAATCTGGCACACTGCCTGGCATCAGACCGCAATCGCTGGCTTCTGATGTTGTTCTGCATCTTATCGCCAGTCGACCGTGACAGCCGAATCACTACTGTATAGTACGTACAGGTGAAAAGCATGTTGTTGTCACGTGCAGGCAAATGATGTTTAATAAGGGGAAATATACTTTTTATACAGAAACACGAACCATTGGGAATTAAGATATTTCAGATTCGAAGAAAGAAAGTACACAGATCGATTTACAAATACACTGGAAGAAGACGTATCGGCCAATTGCCACAGCCAAACTGAAGTTCTTTGAGCGCAAATGAGAATAAATATCTACACATTCTCTTTTATAGACATATTAGCAAAACGAGCTATGCGATGCCAAAACCACATTGGCTTTGATGATAAAGTAATACCTCACGTTCCAACGTGTTGGTTTTGGAAGGTTCGTGTACATATCATGCAAAATGTACTACATGCGAGAATACTGGAAGGTACGAGAACAAATGTATGTACATTGGTCGTAAAAATGCTTTATGAAAGAATCCCATTAGTGACGCCATTTCAATGATCCGGAATACTCTATCTCTAGATTTTTTAAAAATCGTATTAGCATATACCACAAAATCAGGCATCAGGCGAATGGTGTGAAATATCTTTCATGGTGCGAAATGTATCTTATTTGAACGACAATTTGAATAAAATTTGAAACAAAAGAGGGGATGGGGGGTTGGGGTGGATAATTCTGAAAATAAGAGGCATGCCACTGTAATATACCACAGGGGCATACCACTATAATATACCACAGAGGCATGCCACTGGAATATATACCACAGGGGCACATCACTGTAATATACCACAGAGGCATGCCACTGTAATATATATCACAGGGGCATGCCACTGTAATATACCACAGAGGCATGCCACTGTAATATATACCACAGGGGCATGCAACTGTAATATATACCACAGGGACATGCCAATGTAATATATACCACAGGGGCATACGACTGTAATATATACCACAGGGGCATACCACTGTAATATATACCACAGGGGCATGCCACTGTAATATATACCACAGGGGCATGCCACTGTAATATATACCACAGGGACATGCCAATGTAATATATACCAGTGTGATATACCACTATGATATACCACTGTGACATACCACTATGATATATATCACAGGGGTACAGGAACTTGCAACAAGTATCAGAATTTAGATCTACCCATGTATTCCGGCGTTTATTTACAACATTGTTAAGTTTTTTTCGAGAGGGAGTGAAAGTTAGGGGAAAGGTCAATATTTGTTACACATGACGCACTTTGTGACATATACAGTTTCACCATATATTGATCGAATCCCCTTCCTCCTAGGAAAGGTCCATATTCACATAGATTGTTTTTATTTCTAACGTTCTAGATATACATGTCACTGGTTTATGGGGAATGTTATGATAAAGTATTGTACGGAATGTGACTCAACACTATACCACTTATAAACTACCACTATTGATACAAGTCAGGATAAAGCTACTCCATCACAGGCTCGCCGAGGGTCAATTAATGGCAGTGTACTAATCATTATATACATTTTTTTCTTCTGGTCAGCAAAAATATATTCAACACAGGTGCTATTTCCGTACTAAGTTGTCAGAGTTATTATGACATTGCATCAACTTTATAGATCGGTCTGGGGTTCGTCGACTCCACATGGGTATCAAATTCAATCGATAGAACGTCACAGTAATTCGGACTACACTACACGTACGAGACCCGCCATTATATTGTTCATCTGAAACCGTTTAACCTTTAAGTGTCAATATCAAATCAGCTGACCCTTGATTTAGGCGTGGTCCCAAGAGTGCATCTAGTACATCATTACAACGGGCCTCAAATCAAAGATATTCTACAGTACAGAGGAAATATGTTCCATCATAGAATGATTGCCACAACACAGGGTCACGTCACGAGATTGGTTATGACTGAAGGGAACAAAACAAGAGATCCCGGACGGATCTTGTCGCCCACCATTGTTTGATCTTTATAAGTTGGATCTTTTCCCTTCTTTTCTCCTCTCTGTTCGTGTTCTTAATGATAAGAAATTTGAACATTCCTTTGCAGAAATAGCGATGATAATCTTTACCTGCCAAATCCAAAATGATCGCCTGGAAGCCATTATAATTGATCTAATCAGTCCCAAAATCAAACGAACACAAGCAGAGACTAAAGAGAACATATGTATGTTTGAGAAAGATCCAATCAGTACTTCTTAGGAAATAGGGATAACAACCTTTACTAAGCGAAATTCAAGATGGCTGTCTGTCGGCCATTTTGTTTTTCTGATCAGTACCAAACACAAACTAGGGACCGAGATAAACCTATACATGAGATTTGAGAAAGATCTATGCAATATTTGTCAATAAATAGCGATAATAAAAATTGTTTACAGACGACGGACGGTATACAGGTGATGTGAACTGTCAACCGTCTGATGATGGTGGGTACACCAATCTATTAAACAAACAAAAGATCCCAGAGGTACCTTGGTGTCCACCATTGTTTTATATTTATTTGCTCTTTGAAAGTTGAATCTTTTCCCTTCTCTTCTCTTTTTGCTCTTAATAATAAATTTAAATATTCCTTTGCAGAGATAGCGATAATAATCTTTAACTACCAAATCCAATATGGTCGCCTGGAAGCCATTTTGTTTTTCTGATCAACCCCAGAATCAGACAGGCACAGCTAGGGACAATGGGGAACCAGTAGAGGAGTTCTCAAGAAATAGCAATAACAAAGTTTCAAAGTGAAAGTACAAGATGGCCATCTAACGGCCATTTTGTATTTATGATCGTTTTCAAAATCAAATGGGCACATCTAGGGACAAAGTGGAACCTACATAAGAAATTTTGTGATGGTGGGCTGAAAAAGATACCATAGTACCAAAAGCATCCATAGAATTTGTTGAACGTCACAACCTGATAACTTTTCCGACATTTTACCACATGCTCTGGCCATTAGACCATGGCTAAACTTGGTTCACAATGACTGCCTCGATAATTAGTACCTACGACATGCCTTCAAGATCTTAATCAACCTCACCTTTGTGTCCATCTTACTGAATTCAGCTGTACAGTGGTAGTTAAGAAGTCAGTTAAAGGAAAGATGGCAACAGAACATGATCATTAGCTCATTTGACCCTATGGCCAGAGTATTATCATCTACATGTAAACATTTAAACACAATGTTGTGGTTTTGTGAATGCATTGTTTTATTTTTGTATGGGATAAAACTTGTTTTTGGGATTAAACATTTTCAGTTGTGGCCATATCATTATATATCAGGTATTGAACTGAATGTTTTTGTAACACACTACACAATTTGATGGCTGTTTTGTACAGACACTGAGGCTTGCATCAATCACACTGCAAACTCGAACACGATACCTTTTCATTACTGTAGACAAACTGTGCTGTGAACCAGCTGACCTGCATCAACTGTGATTAATTACACAAATGTACACAAATAGTTGTTAAACTAACTCTTTTATGAGAATGTATTTAACTCTCCAAGAATGAATTCCCGAGAGGAATATTTATGGAGTAAAAACAACAATGTTGAGCACACCAAGCCAAAAATCCTTGGCTGAGTAGACAGTGATATTGGATATGCGGGTGTACTACCCAAACCTAAAACTGATACTGTCAGTGTAAGTCGGTACATTGTCTGATTCAGATGCCGACTTCAAAGATGACCAGCATATAATCCTGGTCAGATAGTCTACCAAAGCAAGGCATCTCATTAATTTTTCACAATATACCTCATTTTAAAACACTTAATCTCTACTATGACTTCACAAGTTTACATTTCTGATAAATCTTCGCTGTGTGTTATAAATTTTGTACTTGTTTTCCATCCAAAAATAAAATCCATAGTTCAGAAAAAAGAATAAAAAAAAACCAGATTTTAATCAAAATTGAAGTGGCAAACTAAACAGGTCTGTCTGAGAAGATAAGCGGCTTTGTGGTGTAAGGGAGATAATCTATGCTGAAGAAAGAACACTTTTTCCAGATATTAATCGATGTTGTCTCACTACAAAAATATAACTTTAAAACATTTCATAGTCATCATTTCATTTATTTCAATATTGTTCAACATGGCTTAGAAGTTAACATTTAGCCTTTAATGCAATTAACAACACAAAAACATGTATTGGATTTAAATATTGTGATTCCTGGTTTGTTGTCTCATAATCACTGGTTAGGGCAAAAAGAAGCATACCTGCCAAGGCACAATTCTCAGGCAACGGCAGCCCTGTCAGGGTAGGCTAAACTTCTCAGGCAACGGCAGCCCTGTCAGGGTAGGCCATACTTCTCAGGCAACAGCAGCCCTGTCAGGGTAGGCCATACTTCTCAGGCAACGGCAGCCCTGTCAGGGTAGGCCATACTTCTCAGGCAATGGCAGCCCTGTCAGTGAAGGCCACACTTCTCAGGCAACGGTAGCCCTGTCAGGGTAGGCCATACTTCTCAGGCAACGGCAGCCCTGTCAGGGTAGGCCATACTTCTCAGGCAATGGCAGCCCTGTCAGGGTAGGGCATACTTCTCAGGCAATGGCAGCCCTGTCAAGGTAGGCCACACTTCTCAGAACAATGGCAGGCCTGTTGGGGCACAAATCACAGGAGAAGGGAAGACCTGTCAATTTAGATTCACCAGGGTACATATCTCAGGACAGAGGTAGACTTTCCAGGGCACAGTTCTAAGGACAAATGTAGTTTTCTAAGGTACATTTCTCAGGACTAAGGTAGACTTGAAGGGCACAGTTCTCAGGACAAAGGTAGATTTGCTAGGGTACACTTCTCAGGACAAGGATTGAGATCGCAGGGCACTGACAGACAATTATTCCAGGTGGTCGAGAGATGGGAGACCGTACAATTTCCTCTTCTCAGTCTAAAACGCTGTCTAACCAGTCTTCTAAGTTCTCGGTTTCTTTCTCCAATCCTGACATAAAAAAAAATTATTGTGTAAAAGTCATACAAAAGGGAATATATTCTGTTCAGATAGTGTCAGACAAATTAATGGATGTGTTAATAAGTGTTATGTTTATGTTTGATGTGTGGTGTGTTTCATGTAGTGTGTGTATGTGTTATGTGTTGTGCATTATGTATTGCTTAATGTGTGTTTTGTTAATGTGCTATGTGTGTTTTGTTTTTTGTGTTATATTGTGTATTGTGCTTGCTGTGTTTTGTTTAATGGCGTTGTGTGTAGTTGAATTGTGTTATGTTTATTGCTTTTTGTGTAGTTATGTTTTTATGTGTAATTTGTGTTTTTTGCGTAATTTGTGTTGTTTTGTGTAAGGTGTTGTGTTTTGTGTAATGTATGTTTTTGTATTGTGCTGTCTGCTATTTTGTGTAATGTGTTATATTTTGTGTAATATGTATATGTGTTATGTGTAATGTATGTTTTTGTATTGTGCTGTCTGCTATTTTGTGTAATATGTATATGTGTTATGTGTAATGTGTGTATGTGTATTATGTTATGTGTTGTTTTGTGCTATGTATGTATTGTATTATGTTTTGTGTAATTAGCATTGTTTTTGTGTAAAATGTGTTGAGTAAAATGTGTTTTTTGTGTAATGTGTTGTTTATTGTTATATGTATAGTGTTTTGTGTGAGAGTATTGTGTTATGGGAGTTTTGTTTTGTGTACTATGTGTTGTGTGTATTGTATTATCTGTTGTTGTGTATGTTGTGTTATGAGTGAAATACTTTGTGCTCTGTTTGTTTGTGTATTGTGTTATGCATCTTGTGTTATGTATGTTGTGTTATGTATGTTTTGTTTTGTATGTTGTGTTATGTATGTTGTGTTATGTAGGTTGTGTTATATATGTTGTGTTATGTTTGTTGTGTTATGTATGTTGTGTTATGTAGGTTGTGTTATGTATGTTGTGTTATGTATGTTGTGTTATGTATGTTGTGTTATGTAGGTTGTGTTATATATGTTGTGTTATGTTTGTTGTGTTATGTATGTTGTGTTATGTAGGTTGTGTTATGTATGTTGCGTTATGTATGTTGTGTTATGTAGGTTGTGTTATATATGTTGTGTTATGTTTGTTGTGTTATGTTTTGTTATGTAGGTTGTGTTATGTATGTTGTGTTATGTAGGTTGTGTTATATATGTTGTGTTATGTTTGTTGTGTTATGTATGTTGTGTTATGTATGTTGTGTTATGTATGTTGTGTTATGTTTTGTTATGTAGGTTGTGTTATGTAGGTTGTGTTATATATGTTGTGTTATGTTTGTTGTGTTATGTATGTTGTGTTATGTAGGTTGTGTTATGTATGTTGTGTTATATATGTTGTGTTATGTTTGTTGTGTTATGTATGTTGTGTTATGTAGGTTGTGTTATATATGTTGTGTTATGTTTGTTGTGTTATGTATGTTGTGTTATGTAGGTTGTGTTATGTAGGTTGTGTTATGTATGTTGTGTTATATATGTTGTGTTATGTTTGTTGTGTTATGTATGTTGTGTTATGTAGGTTGTGTTATATATGTTGTGTTATGTTTGTTGTGTTATGTATGTTGTGTTATGTAGGTTGTGTTATATATGTTGTGTTATGTTTGTTGTGTTATGTATGTTGTGTTATGTATGTTGTGTTATGTATGTTGTGTTATGTATGTTGTGTTATGTGTACTGCTTTATTTGATGTGTTAAGTGCTAAGTTGTGTTATGTGTGTTTGTATTTTTATGGATTTGAGTTTTTATGTTTTCGTGTGTTCTTTGTGTGCTGAATGTTTGCATGCTGTGTGTTTGTGTTTTGAGTGTAAACTGTGTACTGAGTGTTGTTTGTGTTGAGTGTTGTTTGTGTGCTGAGTGTTGTTTGTGTTGAGTGTTGTTTGTGCTGAGTGTTGTTTGTGTTGTTTTTGTGTTGAGTGTTGTTTGTGTTGAGTGTTGTTTGTGTGTTGAGTGTTGTTTGTGTTGAGTGTTGTTTGTGTGCTGAGTGTTGTTTGTGTTGAGTTGTTTGCGTGCTGAGTGTTGTTTGTGTTGAGTGTTGTTTGTGCTGAGTCTTGTTTGTGTTAAATGTTGTTTGTGTTGAGTGTTGTTTGTGTGCTGAGTGTTGTTTGTGTTGAGTGTTGTTTGTGTGCTGAGTGTTATTTGTGTTGAGTGTTGTTTGTGTTGAGTGTTGTTTGTGTGTTGAGTGTTATTTGTGTTGAGTGTTGTTTTTGTTGAGTGTTGTTTGTGTTGAGTGTTGTTTGTGTGTAAGTGTTTGTGTTTTATTGTTTGTATTTTGTTAAAATATCTGTTTAATTATTACCTGTGTTAGATGAAGTAAGTGCTTTTTTGTCAGGTGAGGTCTTCACTGTTACATTCACACCTACAATACAGAAGTAACAATCTTACTTTATATACACTGATTGTTGTATCTATTTTTCAGGTGAACAGAAATATCCCGAAGTCAGAATGCAACCTTTAATAAAATATGGGAGAGAAAAGCCGAATGCAAGGTTGAAAATCATTCAGACAATTCCATTAGACGTCCTCATTTACTGTAAAGACATATATGTCCTTTTCAGGATAGACAACAATGTCTCCAATACCTGCTCAGTTATGCAAACAAATGCGTTCTAGGCACTTTATAAGGTCAGTAGGTCTGCTTTTATTTCATAAACAACCCTCCCCAGTGGAAATTTCCTCAGAAGATTTCTGAATGATGTGAACTCATCAAATGATGATAATATTGGGGCTTTAAACAAGAAAATATCCAATTAAAGAGATGGATCCTGTTACTACGTAAAACAGATCATGATAGGAAGTATAACTTCATGTTATGATACTAAAACTTGAAAATAAACAAAACGTTTTGTATCAAAATATGACATTGAATCAGAAAGGGACACGAGGATTGTGGACAACACTCTGTCTCCCCCACAAAATGATGGGGTGCATAACGATAAAGAAAAAAAATCAGTCCTTATTCTATACTGAAACAATGTAACCCTTTGCAGATACAGCACATATACACAATAATCCTTAATTCAATAAGAAAAAAGTAGTTAAGTTTTAGCATATTTCAAAATGTACATGTCTTTCTTAAAAGATTCTCCCATATGAACAAATTGTGTAGAAATATTGACATCTTTAAATGTCTGGTAGGACATTTCCTGTCCGTTTACAAAAAAAAATTAAAAAAAATTGCCTGATTAAATGATGTTGTTGTAACATTTGCCATTTAACTTCTCTTTTCAGGAATCAAATTAAAAAAACAGTTTCTGAGCAAAGTCTGGTCTTGGCACAATTGAATTACAAGTACATGTTTTTGACATCTGAAAATATTACATGTGTTATCTATATGTTAGTTCACTTCTTAAAATTCTCATTCATCTCATCATGGATTCAGGCTTGGATGTTTCTAGTGTACCTAAAGTTTATCTTGTTAAGTAATAAAACACACAGGAGATGCTGGCTTATCTAATAATCTACTCTAGTAACTTTCATAAGGAGTGATATAGATCAAAGTAATTGACTGGTTTCAAATAAGTTAATTCACTGATTGTTCCTTTAGCGGAGACAACACTTCCCTTAAGAGGATGACATGTTGTAGGGCACGTTATGGTTTACACTTACTATTTTGTTGAGTTGTCTCCCCTAGACTAGTGGCATCTGAAGGATTGTCGAGTGACAGAAGAAAGTCCAAATCATCATCTAGATTGTTACTAGTCACTTCCCCTGTCTTCTCACATATATTTGTATTAATTACAGGTGTTCTAACCACAGGTGCACTGTCCACACATCCAGAGGCACCAAGGTTATGTGATGGTTGATTGTAAATTGACACATCATCTGCAGATTTCTGACAGTCAGACTCAGCTTTAATTAAATGTTCACCTGCTTCCTGTTTGATTGAACCTGTCTCATCAGGCTCAGTCTTTGTTTTTCCTGTTTCTACTACTCTTGTTACTTTATCATTGTCCTTTGTAGGCAGTGTGGAGTCAATAGCACTGTCACTTCCAACTGGTTTGTTCTGTTCTGAAATGTCCACAGCCTGAGAACCTGGTTTGTACTTTTGTGTTAGGTCCGAAACAAGAGATTTTGGTTTGTACTCGTGTGTAGGGTCGACAGGATAAGATTTTGGTTTGTACTTGTGTGTAGGGTCGACAGGATAAGATTTTGGTTTGTATTCCTGTGTATGCTCTTTGGCAGCTGTTTCCATTTCCTGGATCTGCTCAGACTAGAAAAAGGAAAGTATAGACCATGAAAATTCAATGTTATTCTCAAGTGTTCTTGCTTTTTTCAAGGATACAAAAAATGAAGAATTAAGGAAAACTAGATATATGTATCACCAAAATAAAGCTCATCAGAAAATCATGATCAGTTTTAATAATTCCAGTGAAAAATACAAACTTTATACTTCAAATGTTAAATAAGGAATGTTTCAGCTATGATAAATCTTCAGGTTTCTGTCATTGATTTTAAAGATGAACTTGGATACAGGTATACAGTATACATTATATGTAAGATGAGAATCCATAGGTTTATTTCTCAAGCTAGTCACAATGCATGCAACAATTCAAAGTAATTGAGCATTTTATCAAAATAAGAAAATGAAATTCTCCCCATCAGTGAGAAACCACACCATTGTACATGTATCAGCATCAAGCTCAACCAGAAATATGTATTCTTTCCTTGGTGATTCAACAGTGTCCAGTTCTTCCCAAAATAAGAATTGTCTCCCCTTGGACCATTACTTAAACTGTGTACCAACACTATTCATAGATTTTTAGTTTAAATCTTGACATTTTCATACTTCAAATATTGTAAGGAAAACCACACTGTAATTGATAGGTCAAATCAATCTTTTTAGTATATTAATACCCCATAGGGTAGGACGAAATATCGAGATATAAGGCCTTGTAAGTTTCTAATGTTTAAATATTGAAATGATGACTTAGGCATTCAGTGAAATCTGTGATTTAAAAAGATGTGTTATATCAAAATTTGCACATACACTAAAGAGATCCTGCTCCAGCCCTAGTCGGTTGTACAGAGGTATACACTGGAGACTGGCAGCCAAATCTGACAGGTCTACAGCCAACAATTTAGTATCTGTGGACACACTCTCCCCTTCATCCCAGGCCTCTTCTTCCTTAAAGCGAAACTGGGAACTTGTGACACCTGTGAACAGGGGCCAAACACTAACATATAACTTAATGTTGAAAAACAGGATTATGAATATATATACATCTTCTTTCATATGTTTTTTACATCCCATAACCATGTTGCAGTTCAGCTAGCGGTTAAGGCGTATGTCACATCATGACCATTTTCATCACTAGCCCTCCACCACTTGGTTGCTGGTTTTAGGTCTGTATGATGCAGTTGCCAAGTACTGGCTGCATGTTGGTGATATTCTTCAGGAATTTCAGCTTTCCTCAACCACCCAAACCTGGCTTGTACTTAAATGACGCCGACTGTCAACTGAACCTAAAGCGACTATAAACTAAACAGATCAGCTAAACTGTTCAGTATCACAAAAAATTCATGATGAAAATTCTTTAACCCTCTACTCCAATTTATGTATTTAAACATTTGAGTATTCACTATAAACTAATTTTGCCACAAAGTCAGCAGTTGATATGCTCATATGATAGTGTAAAATAACCTACATACCAGCTGTGTTTAAAAGGTTGAGGAAATCCTCTCCTTTTCTCTGTGTTGCCTCTGTCTCTGAGGGAAGTATTTCATATCGTGTCCAGTTGCTGACAACTTCTCTACGTCTGAATGCCGGACGGACTGGTGCAGAGTCCTGATCATTGTCACTAGTCTGTAAAAGTAAAAGTGTTCACAGTTTATCAGAGATTTCATGTTTCCTTAGTAAATTAATGCCTACCAGTGCCTATACATTGTTCTCTTTTGACAGCTGTAATTATACCATGAAGAACACAGAGTTTATAGCCAAATTATGAAGGTCTTACTGGACCAATTACTGGACTGATTATGTAAGAAGAATACATGAAAGATATATAAAAAAAAAACAGGATTTTGTGTGGACAGCATATGTAAACTGGAACACATTTTGTATCTATATGATATATATTGGATATATATGAAGGATATATATCAGGGAAGATGATATGTATCAGGGCCAGTAGATGATATATATGTATGATATATATCAGGAACACAGTAGATAATATATGATATATATCAGGGACAGTAGATGATATATATCAGGGACAGTAGATAATATGCATCAAGGACAGTAGATGATATATATCAGGGACAGTAAAAGATATATATCAGGGACAGTAGATGATATATATCAGGGACAGTAGATGATATGTATCAGGGACAGTAGATGATATGTATCAGGGACAGTAGATGATATATATATCAGGTATCAGAGACAGTAGATGATATGCAGGGAGTAGATGATAATATGATATGTATCAGGGACAGTAGATGATATATATCAGGGCCAGTAGATGATATATATCAGGGAGAGTAGATGATATGTATCAGGGCCAGTAGATGATATATATCAGGGACAGTAGATGATATATATCAGGGACAGTAGATGATATATATCAGGGACAGTAGATGATATGTATCAGGGACAGTAGATGATATGTATCAGGGACAGTAGATGATATGTATCAGGGACAGTAGATGATATGTATCAGGGACAGTAGATGATATATATCAGGGACAGTGATATGTATCAGGGACAGTAGATAATATGTATGATATATATATCAGGGACAGTAGATAATATGCATCAAGGACAGTAGATAATATGTATCAGGGACAGTAGATGATATATATCAGGGACAGTAGATGATATATATCAGGGACAGTAGATAATATGCATCAAGGACAGTAGATAATATGTATCAGGGACAGTAGATGATATATATCAGGGACAGTAGATAATATGTATCAGGGACATTTTATGACATGTAATTATTGTAATATATAGCATAAAACCTTGAGTTACAGATGATACAAATAACACATACATTTTGTACTTTTATCAATGAGCAGGTTTTACTAAGAACTGTCAATCTCTTGAAAAACATTGATCAACTCTGTTTTGTTAAATCATGTATATTTAGATTAAAGTCTTTTTGTCACGTTTATTGAAACTTATAAGTAATGTGAAGTCAATCAGTCTTGATCTGTTTCACTGTCTCGGAAATTTGTTGCATCAAAATTGTGCTATTAGTATAGGAAAAACTACACTCTCAAAACAGCAGTAATTTGTGACTTGATTAATTGGCAATTGGAGTAACTTGGATAAACAAATAATCGTACGTTAATTGAGTAACTCCTGTTATCTGAAGATTGTAGCAAGTTTTTGGTAAGTTTCCTTAATGCTATAAACAAGTTTGATGTACAGTGCATCATTAAATTGTACACTGTTTTAGTGAACTTGCATTTTATATTTATATACAATATTACTAAGTCTAATGTTGTTGACAAATTTTCTGTGGTGGAAACTAGTTTTGGTTTGAAGTGGTATAATATGGTCACGGTTACTCACTCCAGCAGCATGGAATGGAGTATAATAAGGTTTGGGTTACTCACTCCAGCAGCATGGAATGGAGTATAACATGGTCTGGGTTACTCACTCCAGCAGCATGGAATGGAGTACAATATAGTCTACTCACTCCAGCAGCATGGAATGGAGTATAATATGGTCTGGGTTACTCACTCCAGCAGCATGGAATTGAGTATAATAGGTCTAGATTATGTTTGGCATTACAGTTTCTGTTTTGTGAATGATGTCATTGTGAACATGATCTCGTGAAGCAAACAGAACACACACAAACATACTCTGCATATACATAGGCTTTGTTTTTGTATTAACACGGTCATATACGAGGTAGAGAAGAAGAACTGTACTAGAAAAAGATGCAGATTTTTTTTATAGAAACATACGTTGTATGCAATGCTGCCAATAGCTGCCTCTACCGTTGTTAGTAACACAATCTTTTGCTATATTAATCATGCTACAGAAACAAGTCTTACATCACTACCAGAAGAAGACTGTGGAAGTTTTGTAGCACCAGTAACGTGACCCTCAGAATGTTTCCCGCCTGGTTTCTGATCTACTTTCACTTTGCCCTTTCCACTACTCTTTGATTTTGGTTGGCGCGAATCTCTCGACTGGTCATCTTTATTCATGCCATGCTTCTTTTTGTATTGGGCGCTCCTCTTCTTTTTATGTTCGTCTGGTCTCATATTTTTACAGTGGAAGTCCTAACTTTTTGCATGCATAATAGAAAATCACAAAAGGTAGCTGAAAAGAGAATTACACCGACAACGTGTGGAGTACTTCCGGTTAGATATTATAATATGGAGTCCAATTATCGGTAAAAGAAGTTCCGGATTCAGAGGATGGCCTGTCAAGTGAAAGACAAGGGGACTCGGTTTCAGAATTTTGAGTAATGCACCTCATCAGGTAATAACCACAACACTAATATTCATTGCTTTTACGAATTTGAAACCTTATAAAATGTGTATTGGTGGATATAGGAAAGTTGTATCCACCGATAATAGCTAATGGATTTTGATTTGATTTTTAAAGAGAAAATGCAGAGGAAATAAAAATAATACATGGAACGATAAAAAAAATTGGTGAGAGTTATTAGAAATTGTACCTATGTGATCCCAGATTTAAATATATATCAGACGGCAACAGGTCATGATAATGATTATGGTAATAATCAAAATGCATAGATAATTTGATAACATAGTAATGTTAATTTGTTTTTTCCTTTTTAGTATGTAATCAGTCTATCGTTGTCCTTCTGTGAATTTTAAGGTAATCACTGTTTTACAAGTAAATATTTTCAGATATTAGTTTTTCGGGCTATCAAATATTTATCATAACACATGTTAATATGCTCATTTTGACTTTTAAGAAACATTGAAACCTAAATATTAAATTGAGAAGAAAGTGAGTTGTTAATTAATATTCATTTCTATATTAAAAACTGTTGTTTAGTAGCCATTGAATTTAGACCCTTTTCCTTATATGAGTCTATAGCTGTTGCTGTGATTTACATATTGCATACACAATGAATGCTTGAAATTCAATTAAGTGTAAGTTGATGTATTGCCTCCATTATGAGTCTTAGTGTATGTTTATGTGTTCCCTCCATTATGAGCTTTAGTGTATGTGTATGTTTATCTCCATTATGAGCTTTAGTGTATATTTATGTGTTGCTTCTATTATGAGCCTATGTGTTTGTTTACGTATTATCTCCATTATAAGCCTTTGTTTATCTAGATGTGTTGCCTGCTCTCCCACCCTTTGTGTATGTTGACATGTTGGCTTCACTCTCAGCCTTTGTTTATGTTGACATGTTGGCTTCACTCTCAGCCTTTGTGTATGTTGACATGTTGTCTGCTCTCTCAGCCTTTGTGTATGTTGACATGTTGTCTGCTCTCTTAGCCTTTGTGTATGTTGACATGCACTCTTGGCCTTTGTGTATGTTGACAAGTTGCCTGCAGCCTTTGTATATGTTGACAAGTTGCCTGCACTCTCAGCCTTTGTGTATGTTGACATGTTGCCTGCACTCTTGACCTTTGTGTATGTTGACAAGTTGCCTGCACTCTTGGCCTTTGTATATGTTGACATGTTGCCTACACTCTCAGCCTTTGTGTATGTTGACATGTTGCCTGCACTCTTGGCCTTTGTGTATTTTGTCATGTTGTCTGCACTCTCAGTCTTTGTGTATGTCGACATGTTGCCTGCACTCTTGGCCTTTGTGTATGTTGACACTCTTGGCCTTTGTGTAGAAATGTTGTTGCCTTTGTGACATGTTGCCTACACTCTCAGCCTTTGTGTATGTTGACATGTTGCCTGCACTCTTGGCCTTTGTGTATGTTGACAAGTTGTCTGCACTCTTGATGTTGTCTGCTCTCTCAGCCTTTGTGTATGTTGACATGTTGTCTGCTCTCTCAGCCTTTGTGTATGTTGACATGTTGGCTTCACTCTCAGCCTTTGTGTATGTTGACATGTTGCCTGCACTCTTGGCCTTTGTGTATGTTGACAAGTTGCCTGCACTCTCAGCCTTTGTATATGTTGACATGTTGCCTGCACTCTCAGCCTTTGTGTATGTTGACGTGTTGTCGCACTCTTGGCCTTTGTGTATGTTGACATGTTGTCTGCACTCTCAGTCTTTGTGTATGTTGACATGTTGTTTGCACTCTTGGCCTTTGTGTATGTTGACAAGTTGCCTGCACTCTTGGCCTTTGTATATGTTGACATGTTGCCTGCACTCTTGGCCTTTGTGTATGTTGACATGTTGCCTGCACTCACAGCCTTTGTGTATGTTGACATGTTGCCTGCACTCACAGCCTTTGTATATGTTGACATGTTGCCTGCATTCACAGCCTTTGTGTTTGTTGACATGTTGCCTGCACTGACATGTTGCCTGCACTCTTGGCCTTTGTGTTTGTTGACATGTTGCCTGCACTCTTGGCCTTTGTGTTTGCTGATGTGTTGATTTAACTTTCAGCCTCTGATATTGAGATCAGAAGGTGATATAGACTGTGACAATTTAACACTGAAATTTTTCGTAACTTCCATAAATCATCCATCAGAATTTACCAAGAATTATAATAATAGAAAGTTAATATCTTTTTTTGTTTTTATCCCTCACCCTCCCTTTACAAAAAGGGGTTTGAGTATACATTGTAGGTTTGTGTGTATGTGAGTGTGTGCATTCATGGTAATCTGGTGTACAACATATTGAACAGATATATGGTTCATATTCACACTATAGCATCATACCACATATCTCCAACCAAGGTAAACCTTTTGGCACTCATAGGTCAAAGTTAAAGGTCAAAGGTCATCCCTTTGACGAGTGTGATCCAGGGGTAAGGATAATAATGATAAAAGAAATGGGTCAAGGGTTGAAAAAGCTATTTGTCATTGATGAATGGTAATGTTGCAAGGCTTACAACATGAAATAAAGAAATAGTTAAAAAGAAACTAACAAAAACATTTAAAAGAAGAAACGAAAAGTTTTGTTATGTCTAAATTACAAAAAAATTACCTGACAATATCTATTGTGTTATTTCCTTTGAAACTAGTGTAAGAAATGACAATACCCTGCTGGAATCAGGACAGGTCGAATGTTAAAGCAGGAATCCTGTGTATATCAATACTTTCTCCAGACCTTGTTAGTCATGGCCAAACTACTGGCAAGATATACAAATCACTTTATCATTAGAATGGTATTTTTTACATATAAGTAGTGTATGAAGACATTATGTATTTCCCCATATACTAAGTGTTACAAGGTTAGGAGGTGTATATTGTTGGTGTGGAATGTTACTGGCATTATACTGGATCATTAATTAGAAGTGGCACGTTGCCGTTAGCTGTACTACCTGACACTACTAGACTGACCTGCTCCTTGGACAGGTACCAGTATCAGGTTCCACCTGACACTATTAGGCAGGTCTGCTTCTCAGACAGGTACCAGTATCAGGTTCCACCTGACACTGCTAGACAGGTCTCTTCACTGATAGGTAATAGCCTACAGGGTCTACCTGACACTCTATGGAGAGAGGTCTTTTCTGTGGACAGGCAATAGCTTAAAGGTTCTAAATGACACTGCTAGGCAGGTCTCTTCCATGGAGAGGTAATAGCTTACATGTTCCACCTGACACTGCCAGACATGTGCAGACAGACACGTTTGTACTGTTATGCCTTGCACTTAGCCAAGTCTGCACTGCAGATAGGTACCATTGTACAGGTACTATGGGACAATGGTAAGCTGTAAGTCCTCAGTCAGGTACAAGTTACTGGTTCCACCTGTTACTGCTGGGCAGGTCACCTTCTCAGACAGGTACCAACTTACTGGTTCCACCTGTTACTACTAGGCAGGTGTCTTCCATGGAAAAGGTAACAGCTTACTGGTTCCACCTGTTACTGCTAGGCAGGTGTCTTCCATGGAAAAGGTAACAGCTTACTGGTTCCACCTGTTACTGCTAGGCAGGTGTCTTCCGTGGACAAGTAACTGCTTACAGGTTCCACCTGACACTGTTAGGCAAGTTTGCATAGAGACAAGAGTAACCTAGAGGTTCTATGTACTACCTTGCACTACAGGTCTGTACCTCCATCAGTACCAATTTATAGGTTCCATTTGATGCTACTAAGCATCTAGGTATGTTCTGTGGACAGGTACCAACATGCTGGTTCCACCTGCAAAATTTTCTCACCTGATATTGTATTGTTTTGTTTGTTTCCAGAATAACAGCCTATTATTACTCCATTTAATTATGTAAAATTGATTTTTAACTTAAAAATAAAGTCTGTTATATGTGAATGTTTTTCAGGTTACTTAAAATGAGTTATAGATTATTATGTTTTCATAGCACCATTGTGATCTGTTATTTTAACAAAACAATTGTGTTAACACATAGTTGATGGTTGTCACGTAGCTACCAGAGAAGTATACTGTAAATACGTATTTTCCATTATAGATCCATACCATTGTAATCTGAAATAGGAATTTCATTGTAAGGATTCAATACAAGGTCCAAAAGAAGTACACATTTCATCAATAATAACATTTTAGAAGTACTTAACAGAATTATGAGGTGAAGGTTGGTGTACTGGCTGTTTACTTTGGACATCCATTGATACACCAATCCTAGGTACTGGGGACACTGTACGGTAACATGGAACAATAATGCTACAATTACTTCACAGTCATAAATATTGTTGAGTCATTTGAAACCATGTGCTAGCAGCATTATGTATTGGTCTTTTAAATTCTATCACATGCTTTATACCTGATAAACAATTAAAATTCTAATCAGCTAAAAATTTGAATTGAATGATTTTGTATCATATAGTAAACAGCACAATAAAAACATAGATAATACACAATTATCAAGTAAAAATAGAACAAAACAAGACTTGAAAGAAAGGACATCTCCGACTGGTTATGTAGCAAAATGAGCTGTCTGAGAGATCTGTGTCACTTCAAGAGGATGAATTTAAAGAGTAAAAGTGAACACAGAGGTTACAGTGAACTGTGAGTATAAAGAGTAAAAGTGAACACAGAGGTAACAGTGAACTGTGAGTATAAAGAGTAAAAGTGAACACAGAGGTTACAGTGAACTGTGAGTATAAAGAGTAAAAGTGAATACAAAGGTTAGTGTGAACTGTGAGTATAAAGAGTAAAAGTGAACACAAAGGTTAGTGTGAACTGTGAGTATAAAGAGTAAACGTGAAGACAAAGGTTAGTGTGAACTGTGAGTATAAAGAGTAAAAGT